AGATGGTCCTTTGGAGCTCTTTGCCAACATGCTTTTCCAAATTGCTTCCCTTTCAGGGGCATGACTTCCCCAGCGTGCTGGCACTGCAGTGCTGGCACTGCCGTTCTGGCTGCCTGCTGCCTTTGCCATCCTTTGTACTTTGGCTAAGCCCATCCTCAGGAGCCGTTATTTGTGGGTTGGCTGAGGCTCAGTGTCCCACCAGAGACTGGGCAGAGCTAACACATCTCACTGAAACTCAGTATTGGCTCTTCAGAAAGTATTTCAGCTTTTCCAGATTTCAGCTTCTCCCTGTATTCATAAGGGCACTCACATTCTGTGGGCATGGACAACTGACAGCACCTCCTGTATCTACATCTGTGCAATTACAGTTAATGATCAGTTCCATCTGATCAGTGACCCACAGTCTGTGGTGAAGTCCCTTCAGGTGAAGAGATCAGAGCCTTGGCTTCCTCATGACCTACTCCAATAGAGGTAGAGTTGTTCCAGTGACAACACTGATGATCATGTTGTGTTCCTTCAGAAAGGAAGCAGCAGTTCATGTTGCTCCCAAGACAGTTTGTGTTGTGACCCTAATTATAATGAACCCTTCTCTCCTTCCAGCCCATGTATGTTTTATATGCAGCTCTTTGTTCTGCTCACCTGGGTGGTAACCTTACCCACAAAGTGACCCTTCACAGGGAGCAATGGGTGACATTCGGGGACTATTTTAAGAGTGCTATTCTTAAGCCAGCTCATGCTGTGTCAAAACTATTTTTCTATTAAAACAAACACACAAATCCTCACAAACCTCAAAATGAGACAAAATTAAACATGTGACTGGATTCTCTGCTAGCCCTGGAGGAGCTCTCAGGCCATCAGTGTGGGGCCACACTTGATACACGAGTCTTCTCAAAACAGATGTTGAGGATAGAAATGTTAAAGTACCACAATACCCCGTGAGATGCTCTAGACTGTCAACCCAGATAACATGAGCTGCAGTGCAGGGGTCCTGGATGGTCCTCTCAGGGCTGAGAGCCAGGGATTCCCTCCATGAACCCACTGCATTCAGCACTGGGCAGCCCTGGTACTTCTCTGGGGGGCAGAAAATCTCCTAAAAATGCCTACTCAGTCTTGTTCAATGTTGTAAGGTGGGGAGAAACATTTTGTTTTCTGTCCTTTAGCTTCCAGTATCCCTGGCTGGGGAAGCCCTAGGAGTGATACGTCTCGTGATTCATTGCAGAGTTTCAGGTCAGCATGAGATGAGCTGGCTCTTTGCTTTCTTGGTTGTGTCTCTCTGGCAGAGCCCGGGTGGAAGGGAGCTGGCTGTGGGCAGGGGTGCAGAAGGAATTGGGGTTGAGGAATGTGGCCAGGAGCCTTGTGCAGTGATCTGACCCAGGTAGGAAATAGGGATGGAGATGTGGGGCAGACTGTGATTGGGAAAAGTCAGCTCTGTGGTAACCCAATGTGGGCTGAGAAACTGCTCCAGCCCAAGGAACACAAAAATTTTGCCAGAGAAACAGTGTTGTAATGTGTTGTGACAGGAGGAACCTAGCTGTCCCCAGCCACCCAGGCAGGCATCACTGGGAGTGGAGCTTATATGGAAGGGGCAGCATCTATGTGCAAATGAGTGTTGCAAATCCCTGTGCAGCAGGGAAATGAGATTCATGCATTTGGTTAGGAAGGGATGCCGTTGTGTAGAAGGTCTATCTGACCTCTGGAGTCTAAGAGATGTCCTGCTCCAACCTTGGCTCCAGGTGACCCAGGATGCTGCTTGTAAAGTGATGGTGGTGAAGTACTACAAGAACGATGTGGACCAAGAGGTGATTGTGTGTGAGATCAGCCTGCTGCAGAAGCTGTCCCACCCCAGTATTGTAGGGTGGGCACATCCTCTGGCCAAGAGCCCTAGGCACTGGCAGGGGCTGGAGCTGCAAGGCTGCTGTGTTTAATCATCCTGGGGTTGCTCTCTTGTGCTACTGAAATGTCATGTTTCCAGCCATAGGCACCAACAACAATTAAATGAGCAGTTTTGAGCTCTCTCAGCACAGCTAGCAGAACAAACCTTTAGTTAGGAGTAACTTACAGAAGATTATTTACCTATGAGATTGGTATTTTGAGTTCACTGCCTCTGTGTGCCCGTGGTTTGTGACAGGGTCAGCTGGTGTGTTAAATCACCCCTTCACTTGGTTTGGGTGGCCACAAGGTAACAGCAGCACAACGAATGTAGTGCATAGGGTGTTGAATTCATCTTTTCCACCCCAAGGACAAAACCACAGTGAAATGATTTCCCTTTCCCAGCTGCAGCTTGTTTTATGCTGACTCATACATATCTCTTCAGATGCAGCCCTCTCACAGGGACACCTCTGAAAATTGGAGGAAGGTGTTCACCCCTGGGTCTGCTGCATCCAAACACAAATCATGACAGGATAATCATCGGTGTTAGGTAGGAAGACCTTTCATTCGAAAGTCCAGTTTCTTGATATCAGTCAGCTTTCAGATTTGTGAAATCTCTGGGCACTTACACGTGGCTGTATTCCTCCCTGGAAAGAGCCTCCATGCAGCCCTTGTCCTGCAGTAATCTCATGGGTGATTTGGACTGCTGAGTCTTCCCACATCCCTGGCGATGCACGAGGCTACTGCTTGAGGCAGTCTCAATCTTGCCAGGAGGCTGGACTGGGTGGGCCCTGAGAGGACCGTTTTGGCCCTGCTTTTGCTTTCAGATGGTTGTGCATCAACAAGCCATCAGAGATGCTTCCAGCCTCTCAGTGTGTGTCTGGCTCCATGATGTGGTAGAAACTAAGTCCTCTTCCCACACCCTGTAGCCTGTCTCAGCCTGCTCCTGGTGACTCTCACAGACTCGGTTGTCGTTTGCAGCAAGGGAAATGTGTGGAGAAAGCTCCAGGGACATTGTCATTTCTTGGGCTTCAGGGTTGGCCCATTCCAGATCTACTGACAAGCAGAAAAGGGGTTTCAAACACAAAATGCAAACAGTATCCACGAGCTTTCCAAGACAGAGAAAAAGCTCTGAGATGATCAGTGGCCAGAATCAGTCACAGAGTGACTGGGGCTATTCTGCTTTTCTTCTGGGGACCCTTGGCAAGAGGAAAGGAAGCAAGAAGGACTAGATGGTGTCCTGCCAGTTGGGGGAACATCTCTTCAGGATATCTCAAGTCTGTTTCCTGCCTCTCCCCTCACTGGTCAGGTGTGAGAGGTCATGGAGGAATCAGAACCCTTCTGTTGAGGAGAGGTGGGAGCTCTGTATGCACAGGTATCTGGGGAACTGGATCCTGAATTTAGTTCTTCCTGGCTGGAGTTAGTGCAAGCCAACTCAGTGACTGCTGCAGGTGTGGTGCCTCATCCCTGGAATTGTTCAAGGCCAGGTTGCATGGAGACCTGAACAATCTGATCTAGTGGATGACATCCCTGCCCATGGCAGGGCAGGTGAAACTAGATGCTCTTTAAGGTCCCTTCCAACCCAGACCATTTTGTGATTCTATAACCCTCTCCCCCACGTGCCTACATCAGCACAGGGAGCATTCCTGTTCATCAGAGTGGTTGGGACTCATGCTGGAGGGGCTGCAGCTTAGGGGACTGTTGTGCTTTAACCCCAGCCAACAACTAAGCCCCACTCAGCAGCTCGCTCACTCCCCCACAAGTGGGATCAGGGAGAGAATCAGAAGAGAAGAAGCTAGAAAACATGGGTAGAGATAAAGACAGTTTAATAGGGAAAGCAAAAGCTGCATACACAAACAAAGCAAAGCAAAACAAGGAATTATGCTCCCACGAGCAGACAGGTGTTCAACCACCTCCAGGAGAAGAGGGCCCCATCACGTGTAATGGTTACTCGGGAAGACAAACACCATCAGTCCATATGTCCCCCCCTTCTCCTTCTTCTCCCCTACTTTATATGCTGTCATGGTTTGAGATTGGCCCCCCCTCGAGAAGAGGGGGACTCAGAGGTGATTGGGTGCCAGGGCAGTGTTCCCTGAAGAGCCAATCACCACTCATGTTGTTCGCTTCTGCTCAAAAGTCGTATATACACAGCCCACCGGAAACTGTTGTCAAGAGTTCTGCTGTTGGTGTCTGCTGCGTGTAGGTGTGGAAGGCCAGGGGGTGGCTGGGCTCCCTCTCTCCCCTCCGGGGGGGAAAGAGGGGAGCCCTGCGGCCCCCCCAGCTCTGCCTAGCCCAGAGCAGAGTTAGAGGCAGCATTTTGAGTGTGTGCAGTGAGGGAAGAGACTCACGTGAGCACCTGAATCTGACTTGAGGTAAGAGGAGAGAGGCTGGCTTTTGTAGCCAAGCCTTCTCCCCCCTCCTTTTCTACAGCTGAGCTGTGGAGGGGGGCTTTCTGTCCCTCCACTGTAAGTAGAGGAGAGGCTCAGCATTGAAGCTGAGCCAAGTGGACGGGCCGTGGAGGTAGGCCCGGCGCTCGGGAGAAAGAGTCCCAAGTGAAATTGGAGACGGACCCCCAGAGAGAGAGAAAGGGGGGCCCGGAGGATGTCTCTGCCACGCAGGACAACCGAAAACCTGAGGAGAAATCCACATGCCAGGACGTGGACACTTGATAAGCAGAACCACACTGCAGCAGCCTACGAACCGAGGTATGAGAGAGAGAGAGATCACACAGCGGCAGGAGAGCAAGGACTCAAAGCTATCTTCCTGGACTTCAGGAGGAGGAGAGACTACAACAAACAACTGGAACTTGGTGAGGGGGGAGCGTTCGGGCCCAGAACACTCCCACAGAGGGACTGGTTACTTTCCAGCCTTGAAAAGGCTCTTTCCTGGACTAAACTTAAAGGAGGGGCTTGAAAAGACTGATTGATAGAGATGTAATATATATATAGTTGTCTTTAGTTTGTATAGTATTTATTTGTGTAAATAAATGTATATATATTTCCCCCTTCCCCTATAGAAGCCTCTGGCCTGAAAGTTTCTCTTCGGTGTTGGCATAAATTGTGGGAGGGGGTGGAGAAGCCTGAAAATTGGATTTTGGATTTCTAACATGGCTCAAACTGCCACAATGCCGAGCATGATGTCATATGGTATGGAATATCCCTTTGGTCAGCTGTCTCAGCTGTGTCTCCTCCCAAATTCCTTGCCACGAGAAGAAGAAACAGCCTTGACTTTGTGCAAGCCCTGCTTAGTAATAATATCAACATCTTTATATTATCATCACTGTCTTCAGCACAAATCCAAAACACAGCCCCATACTTGCCACTGTGAAGAATATGAATTCTACCCCAGCCAAAACCAGCATAAGGACTCAGGATAATTTCACTCTGCAAGCAAGATCCTCACCTAGCACTGCTGATGGCTTGTCATACCTGAATATTTCCTCTATGGAGTCATATCGTGGTATGGGAATATCAAATAGATGAGTTTGGGTAAACTGCTCTTGGTGTTCTCTTAATCCCTCAGACACCAGTGTCCTTCACAAACAAAATTTAAATGTTGACAGTTTCTGTGTAGTAAAAAGAGAAGCTAGAGGATAGCAAAGAGAGGGGATTTAGCACTTTTACCTAGGTTAAAGCCCAGGTTGTAAGCACCTGCTTGTACCTCTCTGCAGAGGAGTCTGTGGATCTCTAGAGCTGTCGTGGCAGCACCCTGGGCCTCTCTGAGATGCTACTCCTGGACGACAGTATCAGAAGCTGATGAATGAGATACAGCCGGATGCTGTGGGACTTTGCTCCTGCTGAGGGCATGCCAATCAGATTGGTAGCGGGAGAAAACTAAAATGGAGCTCTTGTGGGGGAGAGAAGTGGTGAAATGGAAAACACTGGTACCTGCTGTAGTGTCTTGGTACCACACAGACTTTTGCATAGAATTCCTGGTCCGCAGGGGCAAATGAGATCAAGAAACCTGCCCTGGCGGAGTGGCTGAAACTGGCCTTTGGGCCAACTGCAGCTGTGTTGTGGTGGGAAGTGCTGAGCAACTCTGCTGTGGTTCCAGCAACTGGGGTCCCACATGAGGCTTTGGAGCACTTGAGGAGGGAAGGAGGGAAGGGGTGATGCTGACAGCCCTGTGCTGGACCCTCAAGTCCTTTCCATGCTGTTCTACGTCATGGCTTCATCACAGCCTGCAGGAAGAGGGGGTGGGTCAGGAATTCTGTGCCTTTCAGATGAATCTTGGGTCCAACAGAAAGAGGCTGCAAGAATATTGGAGGCTTCATATACATGGATTAGACTGAAAATTACCAGTAATTACATTTAGGATAATAATATCAGAGAGCTTTACTCAGATGCATTGGCCTCACCCATCACTTGGTCTTTAAATCAAAGTAAAGCACTTTTCAGAAAAAGACGCTTGAGCTCAACATCAGTGCGGCTGCTGGAGGTAGTCAGGGTGAGAGTGTGGAGCTTATGGGAGCTCAAAAAAGTACTGATCTCTTCTGGCCTCAAAAAGTCTGTTCTACATAGAAGGCACAACCTTCCTGGTCTATTTTTGTCCTCAAACTTTATGTTTTCTGTCTTCTCTTGGCTGGTGAGTGGCACCTCTTGGTGCTAGTCAGGTACCCTCTCACCATATTAGACTGGCCTGAATTTCATTTCTGTTCGCTTGTAGGAGTAGTGGTATTCTTTGCCCGTCTTCCAGTTGATACCATCAGCGTAGCTCCCATGCACACCCATCCAGTACATCCCATTCAGGTTTGAGTAATGACAGTCATTGTACCACCACGCTCCTTTGTATTCTGTGGCACAGTTAAAGGAGCTCATGTCATTGTCCTGATCTGTTGTTGAAAATGGCATGTCCCTGTGGTATGATAAAGAGTCTCCTGCAGAGAGCACACATTCACAGTTACTGCAGTAAGGATCACAAACAGGACCTTGATATGCCTGTGCAACCTTGCTGGGCACCAGTGGCCCTTGCTGGGTGCAAGGCAAATTTTTTAAATTCCGCTGTAATCTTGCCCCAGTTGCCCAGGTTTCTTCCTTGGTTCTGAACAAAAGAAGAATCCTGAGCTCTGCCAAAACACGCGGACAATTTGTCTGTGCCTGTGAATCAAATGGGTCAGATTCTCCTCGCATGTACATAGGTGTCGCTTCTCTTGCACTGTTCAGGTTCTCTGCAGACACACTGGTGTCTGAAATACTAGACAGAATTGCAGTGTAAAAAGCCACATAAACACAGTGCACTGGTCTCTCAGGTGTTGATTTCACTCATTCTTTTGTGAGGGATATTGAATTTTGAAGAAAATTTGGTTGCTTTTTAAAGAAAAGCAAAACATCAGGTATTAAGAGGATGCAGTGCTGTTGCTGCAACAGCTGAACAGCACCCCAGCCCTGGAAATGTCAAACTTTGTGGTCAAATATTTCCTACCAAAGTAATCAGAAGCAGAACTTGGCCTGCTACAGAGCTGTTGGGAAGGTCAATTGGATTGGGTGCTGCTCAGGACCAGGCTCCACACTTTCTGTTAAACCATGTGGCTGGGCTTGTAGGTAATGCTCTGGGTCACATTTCTGTGATGGGTGTCTCTTTCCTTCCCTGCACCTAGAGGTCATGCACTAGAGGTACCATGGCCAGTTTTAAAAAACTGTTTTAAAATGTAGCTGATACAAGGAGTTTGCATGATACAGCTCTGCATTATAGATGCCAAGCACTTCTGAAATGCTCTAGTAAAACAGACTTTCCCGGAGAGCTGCTTCAAACTTACCGGCATTTCCACCAAGGAAGTCCCCTAGAACTAGTCTGTATTTCTCAGACTCTCCCAAAACTCTGAATGAAGCGTACTTGGCAAAATAGTAGTTGTTCTCAAAGTCTCTCAGGTCAATGCGGAGTTCACAGGGTCCTAGAAGAGAAGGTTGACAGCAGTCATGCAGAGCTTATGGTGGATACGTCCCTGGATGTCAGGGTGGGGGTTTTAATGAGCCATGAGCTATCTTGAGAGGAGCTTCCACTACTTGAGAAATTATGTTTTATTTAATATTCCCACAGAACCTCCTCTACATATGATGGTTTTCTTGGGAAGCACCTTTTCAGATATGATGGTGGGTGGTCGTGAACACTGAAAGCTACATGCCCAGGAAGCCTGCATACAGACTTCAAAGCCTTCAGGTGGACAACATGATGCCAATATAACCAGTTTCAGTAGGAAAATGTTTTGGCCTGTCTCCAGGATAGATCATGCAGCCAGCTCATTCTCTTTCTTGAATACTTGTTTGTTTGTTTGTTTTTTAAGAATACAATTTCCTGTATGTAATGGTCTGCAAGAACCTACATCCCCTTTGGGATTAACAGTGGGAGGCATCAAATGGATGCAAGAAGCTCAGAGGTCTTTAATGATCCAATGTGGTACAGGCATTGGACTCTCATGGCCCCAGACCTGGACAGAGGCAGACCTTACCCAGCGAGGTGAGGAAGTGGATGTTGTCATTCCCCATCCAGAACTCTGTCAGCTGATTGCCAAAGCCTCGTTTGTATGAATCCCAGTCTCGTAAGAATTTCACTGACCCGTCCCAGCGCCTCTGGAAAACCTACAGGAAAGGAGACCCTCAGCCACACCAGTCCATCCCTCACCCAGAGCATCCACAGCACTTGACGTACACAGCCCCCTGCATCAGGACACTCCTGTGGGTCTCTGGGGAGCAAACCTCATAAGAGTCCCTCAATAAAGATGTCCTCCATCTGCCCTTGGAAATGAGGAGGAAATGATTTGCTGATTTAAGCAGGGAGTGGCCCTTGGTCTGCTCCCAGAGACAACTCCTGGGAGATTCTCCTGCATCCACACAGGGACTCACACTGGCTTGCTGATGTGAACCTCAGCTGTCTGCTCAGTCTGTGTTTTCCTCCCATTTGTTTCTATTTTGAAGCCACCCTTTGCAGCCTTAACAAAAATCACTATATCAACATAAAAACCTCCCTCTCTCATCCTACTCACAATCCATCCCCCACCATCTGTGTCCATGTCGCAGAAGACAGCTGTGGCATTGCAACCTTGGGGGTAGATGGTGTACCAGCCGCTCAAGATCTTCCCTTTGCCCAACAGTTCTTGGCAATTCCTGGGTTCTGTGCAAATCAGAGAAAGAGATCAAGTGGAAGGAGTTATAATGTGCTCACTCCATCCAGGGAGCACACCAGCCTTGAGGCTTGGAGCCCTTCAGCACCCAGCTAGCTCTTAACACTGCAAGACCCTGGCATGCGGCTGCTGGGAACTAAACCCTGCCATGGTTTCTGAGTCCATATATTGCAGGGGAGATGGGCACCTTCCAAGAGGTTGTCTAAGGTGCTCAGAGTTCTCTCATTCACAATGACTCTCTTGGGGGTCTGGGTGATGGAGCTGCTGTGAGAAGGAATTTGTCCAGACTCCAAAATGTTTGGAGGACACAGAGAATGTGTGTGGAGTTGTCAGGAAAGGAGTAGTAATACAGAGAAACAGCTCCCTGGGATGCAGCGGTGAACAGCATTCAGATCATCCTCTGTGGATTGAATCATAGAATCACAGACTGTTTTGGGTTGGAAGGAACCTAAAGGTCATTTTGTTCCACCCCCATGCCATGGGCAGGGATACCTTCCACTAAACCAGGTTGTTCCAAACTCAGTCCAGCCTGGCCTTGAACACTTCCAGGGAGGGGGCAGCCACTGCTTCTTTGGGCAACCTGTGCTAGTGCCTCACCACCCTACTCAAACAGTTTTGAGTGAAGAATTTCCTCCTAATATCTAATCTGAATCTCTCCTCTTTTAATTTTGAATCATTTCCCCTTGTCCTGTCAATGGCCATGTAAAAAGTCACTCTCCAGCATTTTTATAAGCACCTTTTAAGTACTGAAGGGCCACACTGAGGTTTCCCCAAGACAGAAAACACTTCTGAATATATATATATAAAATATATATGTATACATATATGTACATATTATGCATCATTTTTTCCTTCCCCAAACCATACCTGCTAACAGAATCTCAGATTCACAAGTGACTGGAATGGTCCCTATCAGACAACCCAGCCTACAGCTGCATCTGTATCCGTCATAGGGAAAGTTTTGGGAGATGATCTCAGATGGTGGTGCTGGTGGTGCAGGTGACCCAGTGTGCTGTCTGATGCATGGATTCACAGCTGTACCAGGCTGTCTTGTGGGCATGTGTGTCCATCCTAATGGGGGTCTGGTCCTGGACTTGGCCTTTTCCTTATTAGTCAAATGTTTTACATGCCCAGTAAACATAAAAGGGGAAGAGGAGTGCCTGTAGGAAACGTGTTTCAGGGATGCTGGGTGATGCATCCTGGGATTGGTAGTTTCCAAAGTATACTCTGACACACATGGGCAGTGTGAGTCCCATGGTGGTTGGCTAGGCGAATCACGTGTCGTCCGAAGGTATAAAAGGTGCTGTTTTCTTCTAATAAACGGATTTGGTTGTTGGAAATCCATGCAACCGGGTCGTGTGCTTATTTATTACATTAATAAGCCATACATGGTGCCCTAAATGTGAGGGCTTCTCTGTGTAACAGGGAAAAATAGACTGCCTTGCAGCAAGGAAAATTGTGAGTGTGTTTGCCACTAGCTCGTTTTAGGGCTCAGGGACACATACCGAGAAAAAAAACAGACGTCTTTAAAAGCGTCAAGACTTCAGTGCAGAACGTGGCTGAAGGACGCAAAACTGAACCGAGCTCGAAAAAATTGCAAGTGCATGTGCCAGGAGAAAAGTGGCGGAGAACAAAAAGCTGAAAGGATGCGGAGAAGAAAAGCCGAGAAAGCAGCAGTGAACACGAGCCAAGAGAAGCGGCGAGAAACGAAACCGCCGAGAGCTGAGGCAGCGAAAAGCCGAGAAGCAGAGAGACCGAAAGCCGAACCGAATTGGTGAAAAAAGCAAGCAGCGAGAAAACGCACGTGAGATGAAAGCAGTAAGAGAAAAGGTAAAAAAGCATGGGGAATTTGGCTTCCCGGGACATAGAAAGGGATACAGAAGCCTTGTGTCTCTTGCTAAGACAGTGTCCTATTGAGATCACACGCACAGAAATAACAGATCTCTTGCAATGGATAAAATTCATTGCACCAGCACTGCTGCTTGTAGAAGCTTTAAATATAACCACCTGGCAAAGGATCGGCAGATCCATGAGGGACAGAGTGATATAGAAGGGGCAGGTGATATAGAAGTAAGTTATGGTGAAGGTCCCGGTTTTGGTGCGAGCTGCGGAGATAGGACGGGAATTTTAGTTTGCGAATCCAGTATACAGGGGTGAAGTGTAGGTTCCCGCCGTGGCATGGGGGAGGGGCACCCAGGAAGCTTACCCCCCTGTGTCACCGATGACTTGCGGCCGCGTGCTCCAAGAAACGTGACATGGGCGCAGCCATCCTGCGCGCGAAACGGACCAGAACTTGAGCCGTCTCTTCTGGCCCCGCAACCATCTTGTCCCCACTGTGTGCGCAACAGGGGAGGTGCTTCCCCGCCATCTTCTGCCATGCCGCCGCAGGGAGCCGAGTATATCGGAGTCACGGATAGTGAGGCATCAGAAGATGGATAGGAGGAACTGGAGGCGGTTCCTCTGGGTGAGGGCGAGAGGACAGGCACGGGGGTGTCAGTTAACCAGTGGGAAAGATACCGCGAGGAGGGAATGCAGGTGGGAGACTGGCAGGTTATTAAAGCATGCCCAGTTATATACCGGCCGTGCCAAAACCCTCAGTTCCAAAGCTTGCCCTATGAGGTGACAAAGGAACTGAGACAGTAAATTAAAGAGACTGGTGTTTCCTTGTCTCACACGTTTTCACATCTGGAGACACTGAGTACCACTTACGTATTTACCCCACATGATTGGAAGACACTGTTGAAAATGGTTTTAACTACCACTCAGTACAGTGTCTGGTAACTGACTATCAGGAGAATTGCTCAGCATATGCAAATGACCCAGGAGGTTCACAAGCAGGCATGACTTGTAGTCATTTGGCAGGAGAGGGGGAGTATGTGGCAGCAAATTCACAAGTAGGCTACCCCCGGCAGATATATGAGGTGATCGCAAAACTGGCTTTGAGGGCGATGAGAAAGATCCCTAGCATGGACAGAGACAGCAACCTGTCCTTCAGAAAGGTCCTGCAGGGATCAACTGAATCTTTTTCTCAGTTCCTTGCTGAGCTGCAGGCGGCTTTAAACAGGCAAATAGAACATGAAGAAGCTAGAGAGATGCTTTTTAGGCAGCTGGCATATGAGAACTCGAACCAGGGCTGCAAGCGAGCTCTGCAGACTATCCCTGAAAGGGAAAGCTGCACCATCGCCGAGATGGTTCGAGCATGCCAGGGTGTCGGATCTGTTGAACATCATACTGCCTCTCTAGCAACAGCCTTAAGTGCCCTGCTAAGATTGCAGGATGGGACAAGAGGGAAAGGCAGCTGCTACAGATGTGGCGCTGCTGATCATTTTCAAAAGGACTGCCCCAAGAAACCTCCCTCAACAGTATGCCAAAAAGGTCAGCATGGGAAGTGGGGGACAAAAAACCCTTCCCAGCAGGGAAACTGGAGACGGGGCGTGAGACCGCATGCCCCGGTTCAACAAATAAATATGGCTCAAGAAAACAGGTTACTGATCTGCTCACTGCCACCTCAGATAGCGCTGGGTTGGACCTGGCCTCCAGAGAGACAGTAACTATAACAACTACTGCCGTAGTGTTAATCCCTGCAGGAGTTTGGGGCCCTTTAAGCCCAGGAATCCATGCCCTTCTAATAGGATGGTCATCAACCACCAGGATGGATTTGTTTTTCTTACCCGGAGTGATTGACTCAGACTCTCACAGCGAGATACAAATAATGGCATGGACTCCAGTGCCTCCCTTTTACATACCTGAGGGACAAAGGCTTGCCCAGTTAATCCCTTTTTACAGCTTGTCACCGGCTGGGGAGGGGGAAGGGGGCTCGGGGGCTTTCAGGAGCACAGGGAGCCTCAAATATTCTGGGCAAGGACCATTTCTGCAGCACAGCCGATGATGACGTGTCAGATAGACAGACACAGATTCAACGGCCTGGTGGACACAGGAGCAGACATTACAATCATTAAGGACACTGATTGGCCTACTGTTTATCTTGCTTCGACTATCCAGGGGGTTGGAGGCACACAAAGGCCTAGGCAGAGTGCTCAATTACACACAGTGCTGGGGCCAGAGGGACAAGTTGCCAGAGTAGCTCCTTTTGTTGCCCCTATTCCATGCACATTATGGGGACGAGATGTGCTGGGACAATTTGGCGCTGTCATGCATCTCATGGAGATGCTCAGATTTTTCAATGAGGGCCATTGACCAGCCATTCCAAGGACAGATTAAGCTGACATGGAAAACTAATGACCCTATATGGGTCGATCAATGGCCCATGAAAAAGGAATGCTTGCTCACTTAAGAGAACTAGTTCAAGAGCAACTCGATGCAGGACGTATAGTGCCAACCTCCAATCAGAACACTCTGGTGTTCTGCATACCCAAGAAAAGTGGCAAGTGGAGGATGCTGCATGACCTAAGAGCAGTCAACTCAGTGATAGAACCTATGGGGGCATTGCAGCCAGGGCTTCCTTCACCTGCTATGCTTCCAGCAGGATGATCGGTAGTGGTAATCGATTTAAAAGACTATTTCTTCACCGTTTTTCTACACCCTAACGATGTGCCACAATTTGCTTTCTCCATCCCCGCTCTAAACCACACACAGCCCACGCAGAGATACCACTGGGTCGTTTTGCCTCAGGGGATGAGAAACAGCCCGACGATATATCAGACTGTTGTGGCAAAGGCTATCTACTCTATCAGAAGACTTTACCCCTCAGCAATCATTTACCACTACATGGATGATATCTTGGTCACCATGGCCAAGGACACTGAGTTACAGACTGTTATTACTGCTCTGACTAATGCTGTCCAAGAAGCAGGGTTGCAGGTCGCTCCAGAGAAGATCCAACGATCTCAGCCCTGGACCTACCTTGGATGGAGGGTCACGCAGCAGGAGATCTCGCCCCAGCCACTTCAGATTAAGGTAAAAGACACTTTAACCTTAAACGAATTGCAGAAACTTTTAGGAGCCATCAGCTGGCTAAGACCTATTTTAGGCTTGACCACAGAGGAGCTGCACCCCCTGTTTTAACTGCTGAAAGGCAATCCAGACTTGACATCTAGTCGATCTCTGACTATGGAGGCAAAGCAGGTGTTAAAGACATGTTCTAAGGCAATCGAGAGCAGACAAGGCAGAAGGAGAAATCCTGAACTTCAAATCTACCTTGCCCTTGTTCCTAGCAGGTTCCAGCCATTTGCAGTTTTGTTTCAGTGGAACCAAACTGAACCAGATCTACTGAGGATCCTGGAGTGGCTGTTTCTGCCCCATTCACCACCTAAAACTGTGTGGACAACTAACAAAATGTTTGTCAAGCTTGTCATTAAAGGCAGAGGACGGCTACAAGAGCTGGACAGACAGGATCCATCGATCATCTACATCCTGGTGATGAAGGACAGCCTCGACTGGCTGCTGGCCGAAGGCACTGGATTCCAGGCTGCCTTGGCAGGCTATGATGGTGACATTTCCATTCACTACCCTAAACACAGGCTTTGGGCAGAAATGGGCAACTTACCCTTAAAAGCCACAACCAGATGCCGACACCAGCCAGTAAAAGGCCTCACGGTCTTTACTGATGCATCAGGACGGTCCAAAAAAGCTGCAGTGACATGGGTACGCCCTGCTACAGGACAGTGGGAACAGGAGGTACAGACCATAAACCATGGTTCTGTACAGATCCTAGAACTTGCAGCTATTTGCATTGCCTTGGAACTCTTTTCAGATCAACCTGTTAATATTGTTAATGACTCTTGTTATGCAGCAGGTTTGGTTTCACATTTTGAGGCTTCCTTCCTTTGGGATGTTGTAAACCCACATTTACTCGTTGAAATACATGCTGTATGGGTTCTTGTCAATCACAGCAGGTTTGATTTTTACATAATGCATGTTAGATCACACACAGAAATGCCGGAGCCCTTAGGAGAAGGGAACCAAAGGGCAGATGCAGCAGCTATGTTCACAACAGTGCCTAGAACGCTTGAGCAGGCTAAATTGTCTCATTCCTTTTTCCACCAGAACGCACGTTCTCTGAAGAGACAATTTCAAATTACCATCAATCAGACTCGAGACATAGTTATGTCATGTCCAGACTGCCAGCAAATAACTCCAATGCCATCTCAGGAAGGAGTTAACCCCAGGGGACTAATAGCTAATGAGGTATGGCAGACAGATGTTACACGCATACCAGAGTTTGGTCGGCTGAAATACATTCACGTTACAGTCGACACGCACTCCAAATACATAACTGCCACCGCACAGACTAGGGAAAAGGCAAGGGACATAATAAGGCACTGGCTTAGCTGCTTTGCAACGCTAGGGGCCCCAAAAAGGATAAAAACTGACAACGGCCCTGCATACACTTCAGCAAAAGTCAAAACTTTCCTGACAGACTGGGAGATCTCTCACTCCACAGGCATACCGCATTCACCCACGGGACAGGCCATGGTAGAGAGAGTGCACCGTACCCTAAAGGACATGCTAAAAAGACAAAAGAAAAGGGGAGTCTACCTGTAGCCCACAGGAGTGTCTGTGGAAAGCAGCATACGTCATAAATTTTTTAAATTGTTACAGTGCTGAGAAAAGCAGGTATGAGAGACAACACAGACCTCAGGCATTCTCCTCTCCCAAACCACTGGTCATGATAAAAGATTTAATCTCAGGGCAATGGATGGGACTGGTGGACCTCGTGACATGGGGAAGGGATATGTGTGTATATCTACAGGTAAAGAACTAAAATGGATTCCCTCCAGGTGTGTCAGACCCTACATAGGTACACCCTCACAGCAGCAGCAAGAACCAGAGTTATATAATAATGGCCCATCTTCGCGAACGAAGATTTGGGGAAAGGTCTTTTACCTTTCCAGCCTGCGCAATGGATTTTTTAGGTGAGACACAGCCTGCGCTGAACTGAGCCCACCCTTTAATCCTAAGGTTCATCTGCCGGGGCCAAGCAAGCTTGGACAATGGCAGTGAGGTCCTCAGGACGTAGGTTTGTTTAGAGTGTCCTTCTCATAGATGGATGGCCACACAGGGCTAACGACCTCCATCAGGCCAGGAGACCGGGATTTGAACCCGTGGTCGCAGCAGTGAAAGTCCTGCACGCTAACCACTAGGCCACCAGGGGTCTCAAGAACCAGAGTTATACAGAGCGAAGAAACTGCAGATAGAGAGCACAGCTGATGTTTACCATTTGATAGTTGATGTTTACCATTTGATGTTTACTACTGTTAACTGTGAAAATGACCAATGTGGCAAAATACAGCTTTGCTAAAAGCCATGGATGTGCATGTGAGGAATGGGTGCAGTGGCCACCGGTGTGTGTGTGTGTGAGTGAATGAAAGAGAGTTGTGTGAGTGTATAAGCACTTTAAACACTAAGCCTTAAAAAGGTAACGTTACCTCAACCACACGGTCAGCTAGAAGAATTCAATTCATGACGTTTACCCTGTTGTTGAAATAGAGTTGAGTTTTCCCTTTTCTACATAAACCCTGAGATAAATAAAGGTTACATAATTACTACCCAGTAATGCCAAAACCCTCAGATCAATAAAGTTGTTGTTTATCCCAGTTGTATTATACCCCTTAGGAAAATAACGGTTCATGTTCATAATAAACAGGTTCAAAAGGTTAAAGAGAAAAATTCTAATAAATAAGTAAGTTTGTTGAAGAACCAAAGTAAGCAGTGAGCTGGGTCTCTGTGATACTATGGTGATTGTTAAAGGTTTTACATTTTTACATTTTTTAAAAAATGTACTGTTCTATTATTTGCACTGTTCTATGATTCACCTTAAATATTAAAGTTGGGGGAGATGTAGGAAACATGTTTCAGGGATGCTGGGTGATGCATCCTGGGATTGGCAGTTTCCAAAGTATACTCTGACACACATGGGCAGTGTGAGTCCCATGGTGGTTGGCTAGGTGAATCACATGTTGTCCGAAGGTATAAAAGGTGCTGGTTTTTTCTAATAAACGGATTTGGTTGTTGGAAATCCATGCAGCCGGGTCACGTGCTTATTTATTACATTAATAAGCCATAAGTGCCTGGGGCAGCAAGGGGCTGTTCAGTGGCATCCCAGTCCCTCAGGTGTTACAGCAGCTCTCATCTGCCTGAGCCCCTGCATGTGATTGTGGCCATGCAACACCCAATTTTAGCCAGAGCAGGTTGTAGCTCTGCTTTTAGCTCATGGAGTCAGATGGGCCAAATGAAGCTTCTTTGTTTTCTTTTTCCTTTTTTTCCCAATGATTAGGTTAATCTGATCACTACCACGCGTGAACTCCCCATCTACGGAAGCTTCCCACTCTAGCAAGTGGAGGGGTATAACTGCCTTTTAAGTAGCTGCATGTCCATACAGCTCTTTCTAATGATTTCATCTTGGAAAACAGGTCACTGAAGCTCCAAGAAACTCAGGTAGACCTCCTCCAGGTCTATCTCTCCCACACAGAGGACAGGAGACCCGAGTAGTGCTCAGAGGATGTGACTTTCCTGGCCAGGCTGGAGTACAAAATAGACCCACAGAAGCTGCATGTACCTGTGAGAAGCAAATGGGTTAACTGTGATATTTTCTTACTCCATCCTTTAATGTCACTCTGAATTTTTTCTTATTCCTGTCCTGTCCTGATTTCTGGTGTAAGTAGTCCACCAACGTCCACTCTGCAAAGCTGATAGTGGCATGAAGACCTAGGATGAAACTCACCCCATATTTCTGGAAATCCAGGCTCTCCTTTTGTTCCTGTTGGACAAACAACACCACCAATTTTTCTTCAATTTCCACACTCAGCACTCTCCTCCCCCAGCAGTTGGCATCATTTGCTTAGACAAATCTAGCTGCACTGGAGAGCTGTGATATTAGGGAAAGTGCTTGGCTCATCTATGCTAAGCATGGAGAAAGGCATGGAGAAACCAGGCATGAGGATTAAATAAATATAAGCTCTGCCCTGGCTGCTCCCAGGCCCACCAGAGGAGACCCACCTGCCCATCTACACAGACTCGGGAGAGCACGGGGGGCATGTGGGAACTCAAGTCAGAGACCCCTGAAACTACCCCAATGACACCCAGCACCCTCAGACACTGGAAGCAGCTCTGCAGGTTGCCCAAGAGTACATGGGGTGGCTGCTGGGTGGTACACAAGCTGATGGTGCCAGGCAGCACCAGGTGCTGGAGCTGAGGGCATCACTTGTTGCTGAACAGCTGGTTTGGGAGGGGTGTTGTCCACAGCATCTGGGCCAGGGCTGAGCCTATGATGGGGCACAACTGTCACCAAAGAGCCCTAGTGGGGTACTTCCGTTTCTCTATAATTGCTCCCATCTGGTGTGTTGTTCCAGAACAGTACAAGGTGGAAGTTTAACAAAGTAGCTCACATGCTAAATTCAGCACAGCATGATTTACCTTTCAGTCCTGGGAAGCCAGGCTCTCCAACTGTTCCTGCAAAACACAAGAGGGAAATGCTCATCACATATGAGCAATGTAAATGAATTACTGTGGCTCCCCAGATGGCTGCTCCAGCCCCTCCATATGTCCCAAATGTACAAGAGAGCCTGTCAAGAGGTGCAAAGATACGGTACTCAACTGAGCATCCCAGATGTTGCTGCCATGCCAGCCTGGCTGTTCTCTTGATCAGCAGTATCTCTCGGATACAGCAGGAAGATCAGGATAGAGGGAAGAGAGAACTGCTGTGCCGCCTCCTGAAGTGTATGGGGGATTCACAGTTCCACTTCAGTGATTTTTTGTGCAGGGTTTCTCTTTATAGTCAGCCACTTCTGAGATTTTGTGCAATAGCTGCTTTTTCAGTGGGTTTGTCCATCTCCTACTAGAGTTTCAGTTCAAGTCTTTGGTGCATTTGGCCAAGCTGTTTTCCCTGCTAGTCAGTGCACTGGTGCTCAGTTCCTGGGTGCTACCTTGTACTCGTTTCTTTAGAAGAGGTACTTTTTCAATATTTGTAGCACACATGCCCTGCTGAAGATCCTAAGCACAACCTGGGTGATGAAAGTCAGTTTCTCAACAGACATGTTCTTCTTTTCAGGGGCTCATCCTATTACAAGAAAACCTCACCCTGTGATAGATGTTTCCTGGTGGTTTGATCACATCCTTCTGATCAATTGGGCATCGGGCACTGACTCCAAGCCTGGAGGATGCTGGAAGCACTGAGCATCGAGCCTCTGCTTCAGGCCTCTGAGATGAAGCTCTGCAGTGAGTTTCAAAGTTCTCAGAGCTGTGGGGTATTTGGGCAGGTTTGTTTTGTGGTGGAGGAAGGTTAATGTAGGAGTGGGGAATGGGGAGAGGCCTGATTTTAGGAGTCTGTTAAGGATCGGTGTGAACTTTGAGAAGAGTAGTATCTTACTCTGTGCTGTGGTCCCACTCAAGGACATTGTTTCTAGTGCTCACTCCATGCAATAGCCATACCCAAAAATCAGGCTTTGAGTATGCTACTTCAGGGCTGTTTCTTGGACTATGGCCAACCAAGTCTCCCAATGCATGTCCTGAGCTTGGGGAGATTTATGGATCAGAACTGAATATGTTACGCATTACCTTTTGCACCAGGTGGTCCTGCTTTCCCCGGGAATCCCTGGTCTCCCATTTCTCCTGCAAAGAAAGACTCATTTTTTATGTGCACGTTGCAAACTGACCAGAAGGGAGAGGTCGCAAAATCCGGGAGAGCTGGGCCTTTGCTTTCACAGAAGAAAGGGAGATGGGTTTTGTTAATTACATTCGGTCTTGCAACATAGTTTACTCTTTTACCTTACACCTTTTCTTCTTCTGAAACCTCACTACACTGGTACTGTCAGTTTAAGTCTTAATCTGCAGTTCACATAAAAATTTCTATGAGCTTTTTATATCGTGGAGCCTGTCCATGGATTTGGCTGTGGTGGATATGCTCCCTCAGCTGATGTGATTCACCTTCTCCATGAGTTGGCTATGAAAATCCTGAGGGAACTCCATCTCCCTTGCTTCCTGGGGTAGAGGATGCCAGTACAGTTCTCAAACTATTCCCCAGAAAACATGCAGGAGCATCACAGCCTCCCTCCCAGAGAATAAATGGATTATTTTGCTGCAAAGAAACAAATGAATTATGACACTTCGCACCCCAGGATCACTTTATGACTTTCAGACTTGTGACAGGGCTCAGGGAAGAAACAGGTGACTCCATGTGTACCAGCACATGTCTACTTGGTGATGTTTTCCACTCCTATTTGATTCTCCAGTTGCTAACAGCAGCCGGTGCGAAGGCTGCCACTGCTGCAGCCTCATCTGACTTCCCCTACTTAAAGCAAAAATGCCGTCCCATATCACAGTTCTCATCATTGGCTTTAGGGGTGTCATAGGTTTACTTGTTCTAAAAATCCAAGCAGAAATTTTCCTTTTGCCTGTCCCACTGTAAAAGAAGGTGTTGAACGAGGGAAGGGGAAGGGGCAATTGACTATACAAAAGTACTAGCTGGCAGACCTGCATTCGAGGCTGATACCTTTCTCTAGGGCTGGGGTGGGTGGGGGGGGGGGGGGGGGGGGTGGGGGGGAGGAGTTTTTTCTCCCCTCGTCTCTTTGGAAAGAGGCACTTCACTCTTCTGCCTGTAATAAATTAGTAGTAGTAAAGTAATTTACTCATCAAATTGTATTGCATGTTATATTCCTATATATATATATATATATATATATATATAATGGCCAGTCTTCGCGAACAAAGATTTTGGGAAAGGTCTTTTACCTTTCAAGCCTGTGCAATGGATTTTTTAGGTGAGACACAGCCTGCGCTGAACTGAGCCCACCCTTTAATCCTAAGGTTCATCTGCCGGGGCCAAGCAAGCTTGGACAATGGCAGTGAGTGACCTTCTCATAGATGGATGGCTCGGGACCTCAGGACGTAGGTTTGTTTAGAGTGACCTTCTCATAGATGGATGGCCTCATAGGGCTAACGGGCTCCATCTGCCCGGGGGACCAGGAATCGAACCTGGGTCGCAGCGGTGAGAGTGCCGCATCCTAACCACTAGGCCAACAGGGGTCCCCTCCTATATATATACATATATATATATATATATGTTATTGTAATCAATGTTCTGTTAAGGCTGGGGAACTGTAAGTTGCAGAATCGTTAATTAATCTGTCAGTATTACAAGCTGATAGTCCTGCAGCTTGCAGTTCTTAAGCTGAAAAGACAAATTATTGTGCCTTGCTGAATAAGTATTTTGTATCTTATTTCTCTAAAAGCATATTGTCTAAAAGCTACGCATAAAGTAACAAAGGGAAGGACAAGGATCAAAGGGTCAAGTACGAGAACGATACAGAGAATCCAAGATGGACATCTGGAGATACCTACACACTAAGCTACACACTAGGCCTCAAGGATGAAGGACTAATTAAAACTATGGAAAGGAAAGCACCTGGCAACTGAAACGGGCCTGCAGGGAAGCCAACCAGAACCAGACCTGCAAACTCGGATCCAATAGAGGGATAACAAGTGACTATGGGAGGGGAAGTGATAAGGGAATAAAGGTTACTGGTTTTGCTTACTGCACTTGCGTGCCGTGAGTGGAGCAGGGGTCTCCCCGGCCGCCCAGCGCGCTGTTTTGCTTATTTGCCTTTTATATAAATCTTCAATAAATTTTTTTATTGCTATATTTCAGCCTAATTTCATTTACTTATAACATGCCTTAACGGCAAGGGGGTGTGTGTATGTGTATGAAAAGCTCTGAGGCCGTCTTGCTCTCGACCTGGTCATCTGGCTGCTCTCCGGCCTCGGCTTGCCTGCGCGCTGCTCTGTCTCCAGCCTGAATCTGCTCAGAATTCATCGGAGAGTTTGTGCTCATTGATGAAAAAGGGGGAGTCCTGACCACAGCCAGCCACAGACAGCGTGAGTTTAGTGGGAAGGAAACCACCCTTCTTTCCCCTTTTCCCCTTCCCCTCCTTGGTGGGGGAGAAAAATCTCCATTTTTTTGCTTCTCCCGTGATCTGGGCCCCCCCCCCAGCAACCGCCAGAGCCAAACAGCGCCCCCTGCTGGCCAACACTGAGCACTGCAGGCTCTGCTCCTCCAGGATCCAACAGTGCTCCTGCCAACCGTGATTAGAATCGCGCTGGAGGACAGAGGAGTATCAAACTGTTTCCTTTTTTGAAGGGGACTTTTGGGTACAGGATTATTGTTTAGTTGTTTCTGTGTTCTTTTGCTGCTTTTGCCAATACGCATATATCCTTTAATAAAGGGTTGTTACTTTTCTTTTTATTCCATACTTCCTCGATTGGAGTCTCTTAATTTCGGATTTACAATTGCTGAGAGAGAGGAGTTTGGTCTACCACATAACTCACCCTTCTTAGCAAAACACTTTCAGTCTCATTAAACCAAGACAGGGGTCTCACCTTTTTTTCCTGGGAGACCTGGTTCTCCTTTTGGGCCAGACACACCTGGGATACCTGGGCATCCTTGGAGAATGGCGAGTCGGTCAGCATCACCCAGTCCCACTATTCTCACCTCTGAGGAAATGAAGACAGTATTTGTGGAGATTATTAGGGTTCTGAAATATTTTGGAGAGGAAGTCAAACACTCTGAAGTTGAGGAACAACTCAATCAAAAGCAATGACTATGGAAAATTGGAGGTGTTGCGTGAATTGATAGCTGTTGTATGAATGGCATTGAGGATCTCACATATTAGAGGAGTCAGACTCTGAATCTCTCTTGCCTCAGGAGAGTTCAGTAGGAGAAGAGGTTGATATATATGAAATGTATATGACATTGCCTGACAAATATACTGCAGCTTAATAAAACAAAACCTGAGAGGTGCACCAACAGGGTAGTAACAGTGGAGTAAGTGACACTGATGGATCTGTGGACAGTAAGCGTTCTTCTAAATTTCCTGATGGCGGGTCAGTTTGAAATTGCCCCTATGGTCTTCATGAGGAATACAGACAGAACACTGCATTGAGCAGCATCCCCAGGCTTCCAGGGTGCCTAGCATCCAGCAGGCATCCACCGATGCTCTGTATTGTTCTGCATCCTTTGGTAACTGTGCCAAGGCACCACTGAAAAAAACCTTAACCAGGATGGAAAATCTCAACAGGCACAGCCTGTTCCTAGAGATCTCGCTGGTGACTGGGGAAGGATGTTACATCTTAATTTGGAGGTTGCTTTGTTAAGTGGCTGCTGAGACTTCAGCCTCCACCTCCCCCTCCTCCCACTTGCAGTTGAATTTAAAAAAGCATAGAAGGAAAAAATCATATGCCTCTTCCCCTCCTCAAGGTCCTTCTCTTATGGGGAGAAGTGGGGTGGCAGTAATATTTGTGCTCCACTCACCTGAGCAGGTGTCCTCAGCGTCACAAATAGTCGTTGTCAGACTGAGCAGTACCAGGAGGGCTGGAGCTGCCCTCCCCATGGCCAGCACTGCTCTCTGCTCTCTGCACAGCTTCTCTCAGCCACCTCCCGGGGACTGTGGTCAGCACTGACCCATCTAAGCCTTTTATATCTAACAAAGAGCTCCAGTGTAAGCTCCACCTCTGCATTTGCCCGCTGGGGCGTGGCTAGGTCTCAAGCTGTTTTCCAGATAAGCCACTTTCCACAAGTCTGTTTGGAAAATTCTTGCCCAGCTGCCCCACTGCCTTACCTCTGCCCTGCTAAAATTCTGGATGGCTTTCCCTTTTCATACTGTGTTTCTAGAGAAAATGAAAGAGCAAAAACTGGTTTAGCTAAGTGTAGACATCCTTCCTCATCCTGCCTGCTACCCTTTGTGAGGAGCAGAACTTACTGTGGAGATGGGGAAAATGAGTCACTGGGAGTAAAAAGCCCATGGTCAGCTCAGGCCAGTGGCAGAAAGAAGTACAGAGCCTGGCTCACACTGCAGCACTGCCTGCCCACCAGTGCAGCACCACCTCCCAACCCTTCAAATGGAGGCTTCTGTTTATACATGAACCATGAGTGTCATGGAGTTCACACTCTGGGCATCCAGGCAAGGGTAGGTAGGCAGACCATATTTGATTTTTCCCCCCCACCTTTCCATTCTATTATCAAGCAGAATTTCTTGTTTGCTTTCTTGTTGCTGTGCTCTGCTCATTTGTGGCAGCGTTACTAGAGGTCCAATATGCTGCATATGCAGTTCCTGGGATGAAATTAGATCATCATCTTTCTTCCTTCAGAAGAAAGCCTTCCAGAAGGAAAGAGAAAATGGAGGTGCTAGGGAGGGAGAGATCTGTGCAGAGCAACTGTAGGGTGACTGGGAACTTGTACACCTCTCTTTTCTCATCTGTACAGCCTGTGCTGCCCATCTGGGATGGACCAAGGGGCAGGTGGAGGTGAATAGAGCCAGCCCCTAGCACTGAGAAGATTTCTCATGCCCAGTGCCTCTGCTCTGTGTATGGAAAAAGCTGCAATACCTTGTTCCAACTATCTAGAGGCAAAAACATTTGCCTTCAGCTGTTCCCCTTGGTAAATCATTCCATAAAAGCAAAGGCCTTGCAGATTACCCCATTGTTATAGTCTCTCAAGGACTTGAGGCTAAATCTGTCCCAATTAAAAAATAAAATAAAAACAAAACAACTTAAGAATGGGTTTGCCCAGCTTTACCCAGTTTTTCCATGAGGAGGATCCAGCTCTGGGTTGGGCTGAGATGTGCGTTATGGGGACAGCTGTGATGTGTCTGCTCACCACTGATGCATTCAGTGGTAACAGCTGGGTGCATCCAGCCTATGGAACACCATTTTCTCCCCACTTTCATCTCAGAAAGCATGTCCTTGTCGATGCAGCTACTTTTACTTGGAAGAAGAGAGGAAACTGCCAATGAAAAAGCTTAGTCCAAAGTAGGTCAGGCTCCCGAGGGTAGATTTTGAAATTAGCCCAGTGATCAATATGTCCTTAATTGCTTTTTCTCATCCCAGTACCCAGTGAAGATTGCAGAGGGCTGATCATTTATACCATCAGAAATTCTTTTGTATATTTACATTCTTTCTTGAGCCCTGGGAAATGCCCCCTATGAGCCTTGAAATTCGAGGGTCACTTCAGGATAAGAAAAGAATTCTAAGCACATTGGGCGAATGGGAAGCACCTCTAAACATTGTGACCAGGCAGTTCACCTCTACAGACATAAGTGCCAAGAATGAAATTCCCAGAATTGAACTCATGTACAAATCCCTAAGAAATCAGCTTAGGAAATCAGAAGGCATAAAGAGCTTCAAAAAGTTCATGTGGGAGCATCATAACCATGTTTAACAGGGGATTTAACACTGATTAATGCAAAATTGTAGGTGGAATCCTGGTTTCTAGTGGAGTCCTAGGTCTCCACTTCCGCCAGATTGTTGGAGTTTTGCAGGGAGGATGGATAGAGAGTGAAAGCTGTAAGTACAGAAAAAAACAAGCAGCAAGCCCCAGTCATTGTATTCCTCTGCTCTATGGTAACCTCAGGACATTGCCATGCAAGTCCTAAAGCTGCAAGAAGGATAAATGATGGGCACTGGGAGGCGGGAGGTAAACTCTGACAAACCTCACTTTAAGGAACGTAAAATAAGAGTTCGCATGAGATTTGGCACCATTACAGGTACTCAAGGGGAGCTAGCTTGTGCTTTGGAGACTTGTCATGCTGGGAAAGGAGTAGTGTCAGCCTGCAAGGATAGGTTATCATCCAAAGCAAAAAAGAAAGATGTTCTTCTGGCTTGGCCTATTTATAGCTCTTATAAATGTTATGTGTGAATAACAAAGTTTTTCAGGTTTTCTTCTTTGATGAACACTTACACTTCCAAGGCAGAATTTCTTCATCCCATAACCAATCTCAGTATCTGTGGTGGAGACATTTGCCCAAGCTAAGATAGCAGAATTTTTTTTCAAAAGATGTCCCTTGTTTATTCCTTTCTGCTTCTTTGTTTTGTGAACATGTATCACCTTTGGGTGCTAGAGCCCCCTGGCAATAAGAACCCTACCGCTCATTTCCCTTGTCCTTACCACAAAATCTGTTGCAAGTCCCAGAAGCTCCAAAAGAGCATAGGTTGAATTTCTAGGCAGTTATTCTCGCCATGGAGCGGAAATGCCGACTTGCCCAGCTCACACCTTGGGTTTCATATGTTGCATTGCTTCACTCTCTGCATTCCAGGGCAGCTTCAAGGGAAGCTCCTGGCTGTGAGGAGCTCAGGCTGCTGGTTTCACTGCTCTTGACCCATAGACTCTTCCTGCTGGGCAGAACAAAGTCAACTTTTCCCATAGCTGGTGCAGGCTGTAGCATTTCTTAGTACTGGCAGCCATGCAGTGCAGTGATTCATGAACATAGACCATCCACTTTCAGCCTGTGTCTAGGGGCTCCTTCCCCACATTTCCATACATTGATTTTGGGGTGCAGTGATTTCCTAATTTCATCTTGATTTACTACATCCTTAAAGCTTGCGAGTTCCAGGATGTCCTTGACTAAGGGATGTTGCCTGTTCCACTGATTAGATCTCCTTTCTTCCTGATTAGGCTTGAAAGTATTGAAAGATCCTACATCAAAAACATCCTGACCTAAATAATCTTGACATATTCCGCATTTTGCAACTCCAGCAGAGAACAAATGTGATTCTGAAAACATGATGTTATGTTTCTAAAACTTCTTTATTTTTTTCCTCAGTATCACAGTTTTGTAGGGAACTTCAGAAGAAATGAATTTCAAAAAATTCTGTGGTTATGTAAATTCAGCTTCCCAGGAATGCTTCAATGTAGAGAAGATAGTTCAAAATAAGGTAACTCTCACCTTCTTTTCCAAGGTATCAAGAGCAACACCCAGATGCATTGTGATATGTAATATGTGGTCTGAAGCATCCTGGAAGCATGAGCTCCCGCGCACTGGCATGCCATGAACCGAGACACACATCTTTCCCCAACCACAGACTCACTCACCATTTGCTGGGTTTCTCCCTCTCATACATGAGGTTCCTGAGCTCTAATACAAATTTTTACTAGCAAGCTATCTGCACATAGTCCTGTCTTTCTAATATAGCATTTCCCTCTCCTTCAGCATAGCTCCAACTCATCCAAAGTCCCTGCATGTAGCAAACCGGGTCCATCCAGTCTCTGCTTTGAGTTTCAGGTGCGAGTTTTTAATCTACTCACAAGTCCCTTGATTGATGATCCCTGTCTGATCCCCTGCTATCTTACTGCCATCATACCTCAATCTGGGCTTAGCTTAGGCTGAGACAGCAGCACAGAGACAATGATGCCTCCTTTGCCAACTGAGACCTGGAGTTCAGCTCTCCAGAACTACTTTCTGACTTTTTTCTAGAAGGCAGAGAGCACCTTCTCATTTCTTTTCTGTGCAGAGGGAGCCACTAAAAAAAACAACTGAAAAAGTACACAATCTGCTACCTTCCTTGTTTTAAGTCTGTATTCTGAATTAAAAATCCATCTTGATTTATTGACAGAAAGAGCAAAGACAGACCATTCAATTGATTGCAATAAATGACTATCTCTGAAATAGCAACCAAACCTCCAGTTACATAAAAGCATAATGAACGTTTCTGTTTCAGCTTTAATGCCTTTCCCAGCCCCCAGTTCTATCCATGACCTTTACATATTCACTAACCACCAGGATGCTGTTAGATTTGTGGTTATTTGAGAAGAAGGATTATTTTTGCATAAAAAAATAATACTATGTACCAAAGTATAAACATGATCTAGGGAAAAATATTTTAAATATATTTTTGCATACATGAAAAAGCAATGAAAAAAAAACCATTATGGACACAAAATCCTGTCTTCTTTCCGTGAAATGGATGTTAATGTTTTTGGGTTTACAGTGTCTTGCAATCCATGAAAGAGTGAAAGTACCATGTTAAATCACCCACTGAAGTGGTAATTTCTGAAATCAAGGGACTTCAACATGCCAAGACAGATCAGGATGGTGAGCCTTGAACTAAGAGTTTGCTTCTTTTGAAAACTAAGGAGACTGTCCTGCTGAACACAGCATTTCCAGCCTCAAATTTCATGGCTGAGTGAGAGCCATGAGCTGTCACTCTGGAAAAAACTGCTCCTGTCTGAAGGTTCCCAGAAGGGTGCCATCTACACCCCTTGGTTATTTGCAATGATCAAAGAAAGGACAACAGTCACCTTTGTTAGTGTATGGGCTGTTGCCATATTCATGGAGAAAATGGCCAACACAAAGATGGTTACATTTAGCAGGGAACAGTTCATCTCAAGGTATTTTTCAGCAATAGCCTTGAACATTTCTTAAGAAAAACAATGCTAAATAATATCTTTAATATATGACATACTTTCTTGGCTGGCCTCTAAAAGGACTTTCTGCTCTTCCCATGCAGGCCTCATCCACTACAAGAATGTTCTGAGCTCATGGTTGAATCTTTCTATCCATTTCAGTTATTATAATTCCAAAGGAAATACAAGAGAGTATAGAATATGTCCCATAGTATTCAAATGTCTCCTTCACATAGTCTCCCTCATCCATTACAG